TTGCGTGCTAGGAGTATGGGACCAGTATGGGACTAAACTTTTGACTACTTTAACATACATACAGTGGGGAGAACTAAGTATTTGATACACTGCCAATTTTGCAGGTTTTCCTACTTACAAAGCATGTAGAGGTCTGTAATTTTTATCATAGGTACACTTCAACTGTGAGAGATGGAATCTAAAACACACCTCCAGGACCGTACACCTCCAGGACTGCATCGCAGAAGAAATACCAGTCCGCACAGAGACGCAAGAGATTGAACTTCATTGAGTTTGCACTATATAGATCAACGTTTTTTTTCTGTGATCGAATCAACATGATATCGGCCCTTTTCAATGCAACGAACCAAAACATAACTAACTTTGCAAGATTTAAGTCTGTGATTTTGTTGTAGGCAGAGCCAGAGTGCAACGGAGTAGAATTCTATTGGCAGAGGTAGCCCACGAGTGGTCTTTCAGTCACTTGCGAGTGAATGCGCTTTTCAGATCAGTTCAGAGCGCAGGGCCGTACGTGTGCACATTTGTTGATTATTCTTTGCTGGTTAGCGAGTTATTAGCCCAGTTATAAATAAGTATAGGTCAGCAATGGGGATTACTGCATACAACAAGAGCACAAAACATGTAGGCTACATTTCAAGCTGTCTTTGAAAAGCCAGTCAGGTAAAAAGCGCATGTCTTAATTAAAGGGGCAGTGTTGTGTTTTGAGACAGGCTTGAATATGCAAATAAGCCAATATGCAGAGGGGTGGCCTACATTGTTGAATTCTCTGTATGCTAATAGTAATTCATTTTCTTTTGTAAAGTGGTTTCTTGCATCGTACAACACAATGCAATTTACAGTCACCTATTTGGCCCATGGTGTTTTAGACCAAGTAAAAAATCATTAATGTCAAGCCCTTCATAATGTAAAAACATTTTTAAGAGTCTCATGCAATGTAGGCCTGCATTGAACACCACATATAGGCTACTGTAGGCTATATCATAGAAATCAAAAGCTATTTCCATGTGAAAATGTTATAGGATTTGCTCCATTGATTTTGTTGGTAGGCCTACATTATGCTCAAATAGCCACAATAGCCTATTGGCTACTGCTTAAAACTGTAAGGGTACAGCCACGGTGTTCACTGTGAACGCGCCGGACGTTGCACAGAATTCTCACAACGTTTAAGTTTTCGCCCACAAGACCAAAAATTAGCTCAGTGCCCCAGACAATTTGAGGGAACATTGCATATAAGTGAATATTTCCCAATACTTTTGGTCCCCTAAAATGGGGGAACTAAGTACATAAAGTGCTGTGATTTCTAAAGCTGACACTTTAACCTCCATAGTCATTGTATCATTTCAAATCCAAAGTGCTGGAGTACAGAGCCAAAACAACAAAATTCACTGTCCCAATACGTTTGGAGATCACTGTATTTGTTACCAGTATTTACTGGTTGTTTTCCCGCTTTGACATCCAATCCATACACACAACAGCCTTGTTTTGGCCCCTGCACGGGAGTTGAAAAACAACCATGACACTGGTGGGTTGGCACGCGCTTCAGGGCTATTGTTTTCCCATCGACCCTACTGCTGCAGTGTATAATACCTTTTGTGGTATGCCTAACAAGGACAGAGAAGGCCCTTTTCGGCCAACTTGACCTCTCCCTCTGTGCCTCCGGCTTCTGAATCATTTCACCAAGGAGCCAGTGAAGTGTGGTAGTTGTGGGGGGTGTATGTACAGTGCATTCGGAAGGTATTCAAACCCCTTGACTTTTTCCACATTTTGTTACGTTACAGCCGTATTCTAAAATTGATTACATTTGGTTTTTTCCCTCATCAATATTACACAAAATTCCCATAACGACAAAGCAAAAACAGGTTTTTAGACATTTTCACACACAAAAATGAATAGGAAATATCACATTTACATAAGTATTCAGACCCTTTACTCAGTACTTTGTTGAAGCACCTTTCGGCAGCGATTACAGCCTCAAGTCTTCTTGGGTATGACGCTACAAGCTTGGCACACCTGTATTTGGCGGATTTCTCCCATTCTTCTCTGCAGATCCTCTCAAGCTCTGTCAGGTTGAATGGGGAGTGTCGCTGCACAGCTATTTTCAGGTCTCTCCAGAGATGTTCGATCGGGTTCATGTCCGGGCTCTGGCTGGGCCACTCAAGGACATTCAGAGACTTGTCCCGAAGCCACTCCTGCGTTGTCTTGGCTGTGTGCTTAGGGTCGTTGTCCTGTTGGAAGGTGAACCTTCACCCCAGTCTGAGGGCCTGAGCGCTCTGGAGCAGGTTTTCGTCAAGGATCTTTCTGTACTTTGCTCCGTTCATATTTCCCTCGATCCTGATTAGTCTTACAGTCCCTGCTGCTGAAAAACATCCCCACCGCAGGATGCTGCCACCACCATGATTCGCCGTAGGGATGGTGCCAGGTTTCCTCCAGACGTGACGCTTGGCATTCAGGCCAAAGAGTTAAATCTTGGTTTCATCAGACCAGAGAATCTTGTTTCTCATGGTCTGAGAGTCCTTTAGGTGCCTTTTGGCAAACTCCAAGCAGGCTGTCATGTGCCATTAACTGAGCAGTGGCTTCCGTCTGGCCACACTACCATAAAGGCCTGATTGATGGAGTGCTGCAGAAGCAGTTGTCTTTCTGGAAGGTTCTCCCATCTCCACAGAGGAACTCTGGACCTATGTCAGAGTGGCCATCAGGTTCTTGGTCACCTCCCTGACCAAGGTCCTTCTCCCCCGATTGCTCAGTTAGGTCGGGTGGCCAGCTCTAGGAAGAGTCTTGGTTGTTCCAAACTTCTTCCATTTAAGAATGATGGAGGCCACTATGTTCTTGGGGACCTTCAATGCTGCAGACATTTTTTGGTACCCTTCCCCAGATCTGTGCCTCGTCACAATCATATTTCGGAGCTCTACAGGCAATTCCTTCGATCTCATGGCTTGGTTTTTCCTCTGACTTGCACTGTCAACTGTGTGTCCTTATATAGACAGGTGTGTGCCTTTCCAAATAATGTCCAATCAATTGAATTTACCACAGGTGGACTCCAATCAAGTTGTAGGAACATCTCAAGGATGATCAATGGAAACAGGATGCACCTGAGCTCAATTTCAAGTCTCATAGCAAAGTGTCTGAATACTTATTTTTAATTTTTATTTTTAGTCATTTAGCAGACGCTCTTATCCAGAGCGACTTACAGTTAGTGAGTGCATAAACATTTTTCATACTGGCCCCCGGTGGGAAACGAACCCACAACCCTGGCGTTGCAAGCACCATGCTCTACCAACTGAGCTAAGGTATTTTTAATATATTAGCAACATTTTCTAAAAACCTGTTTTTGCTTTGTCATTATGGGGTATTGTGTGTAGATTGATAAGGAAAAAAATAATTTGATCAATTTTAGAATAAGGCTGTAATGTAACAAAATGTGGAAAAAGTCAAGGGGTCAGAATTCTTTCTGAATGCACTGTATGTGCTTATCCTGGTCGTTCTGTAAAGGCTGGGGGGATTTGGGTGGTGGCTGGACTTGACATTTTAGTCATTTAGCAGACACTCTTATCCAGAGCGACTTACAGGAGCAATTAGGGCTAAGTGCCTTGCTCAAGGGCACATCGTCAGGTTTTTTTCACCTTGTCGGCTCGGGGGATTTGAACCAGCCCAACACTCTACTGGCCCAACACTCTGACCGCTAGGCTGCCATTTTGGGGTTGGGGGGATAGAGAAAGGCTTTGGGTGGCAGCTGCTACAGAATCGGGGCCCAGTCCCAGACAGACTCATGCAGTTGACATTAAATGCCTTAATCAATGTAGATAGAAGGGTGGAGTTGGGGCATGCGCTGAAATTAACAAAGATTAAAAGGCAACCAACAGAATTGGTGGCTGCCTATATCCCCCACAACTATTGCTGTGATGCCAGGGATTATTTTGCAGTCACAGTTCTGCCTTTGAAGGAATGTGTGGTATTATGTTGTCATGTATTTTATAAATGTCTAATTAAATAGTCTTAAATGTTCCTCATTACTCAATTGACCATCCTCAACAAAAAACATTTTTTTGATTATTTGGTGGACACTATTGCTTAAATGAAATCATGATGGTGGTCATTGGTCAACAGTAACACTTGATTGGTCATGTCCGATGTGGTTCGGTCATGGATAGGGTTGCAAAGCTACCAGTAATTTACCAAAGTTACCAGGATCTTTAGTAATTTTGGTAATTAAAAGAAAATCTATGGCAATCTATCGTAACTTTGGTCGTTTATACTTGAATAAGAGTATTCATATATATAAATAAATACTATATATATCTGTGTCCATATTATCCATGATTTTCTAATAGATAGACCATGTAGTTCAAGAGAAAATAGCCTAATTAATGAAAAAATCAACAATGGCATTATTTTCAATTAACTCTGCAACTTTTCCAACTATTGACTTTTCTTCAACTGCCACCAGTTTGACACAAACATTGACCACAAGTACATATTGACATAGTGAAATAAATGTGTAAAAAAACATATATAATGGATATTATGCTTAAACCCTCATGTTAAACACCAATGGTGTTCACTAAGTTAATGGTTTATATTTAGGATAATGTTTTAATGCTTTGTCATTCTATTTTATATTTGATTGAATTGTCATACATTTTACATGTGTTAAGGCCACACAGGGCTAGAGATAATTAGACACCTGTGATAATCTGAAGTTCCCAAAAGGGACACTAGATGTATTTTTGATAGATTACATAAAATCCTTGAAAGATAGCAAAATTCGGATAGTTTACTGGTAAACTTCTAAAGTTTCCAGTAATAAACCCTTTGCAACCATAGTCACAGAGGGAGAAAGTGCAGGATTTGCTGACTTGTTTGTGCAGAGCCTTGACAGCTATTAAGCCTGGCAGCGACAGCTCCCATCAAATCTAAATATAAGCCTGTTGGACCGTCTGCCGTATCCTGTTCCCTGTTCCATGGAAAGTATTTTTCATGAGGCACAAAAATAAACTCCAGTGATGAAGACTAGCGTTCTTGAGACACGCTGTTTGGTGAGGTTTGGGACAGGGGAATGTGTGAACAGCTGTTAGTGCCATAATGACTGTCTGAGGGAGGTGGCAGGGTCACAGACCTCCCTCCTCCTACCCTCCACCTGTCCTCCTTCCCTCACCCTTTCACCTCTCCAACTCATGAGTGCCTGCCTGCGTGCCTTCCCTCACAACACCACTAGGCCAGCCAGCCGCTTGTGTCCCTTTTCCCTAGATAGTGCACACATTTTGACCAGACCCCATAGGGACCACTATATATAGGGACTAGGGTGTCATAGCCAGAGGTTCAACCTGTTCTCCTTGCCATAGTCCACCTTCTCCAGCCAGACCTGTCCTGAGGAGCCTGTGGACATTATTATGAGACTTTTCAGGCCACTGCATGCCACAGAAACCTGCCCCTCTTATATGTGTCAACGGAACACTTGCTGTCTCTTTCATGAGGGCGGCTGAGTGATAGCCCAGTACTCATCGTGGACACATACAGGCGTTTACATGGTTAGCAGCACCCTACAAGGTGGACACCTGCTCCTGTCGTGGCCTGTGCCCATCAAAACAACTGCCTCCTACTACTTCTATTCCATATACCCCCTCCTGATATTGGGATCTACTCCTTGCTTTATTTTGAGTAGCTGATAATTTAATGTCCACTGCTCTTCCAGCTACCTCCCATCCCCTTCACGTCTTAGTTACTTCTTACTGCCCCCCTTTCCCATCTTACCTCATCTCACTACCTGATTTATCAAGGCAATAGGCACCAGAGCCAGATACTGTATTCAGCATATATTGCTCTGATAGGCAGGCACTACACTGTGCTTGGAAAATGATATCCATGCGACCTAGATAGCAAACATATAATGTTATGAGTTCTCACCCACAGTACTTGGACAGGCTTCTCATCTTACATTCCTAGGAGTTCTGACACACTTTCCACCCAGGAAAGATTAATTTTATCGCAACTTAACTGTGGCAATGATAAATGGGTCAAGCAAGATAGGATTGACAACAAACCTGACCCGCTTCCTGCTAGTGGACACAATGAAGCATTCTCAGAACACGTGGGACTCACTGAACCGTTCCGTCATCATCAGTTCAGATGGTCCTGTGACCTGGCTCAGGATGTATGTGATGTGTAACTGTGTGTGTGTTCCTTATCACTCAGAGACAAACATAGATATGAGCAAGCAGAAGTAAATGGCTAAAGAGAGCCTGTGATTCAGTGTCTGGGTGTGGCCTGTCCAGTGCCCACACTGTCCCCCTAGGTGCACTCCTGTCAGAGCTGTAAATGAGCCTGCCCTGCCAGTGAGCCAAGCCTATGATTGAATAGGATGTCAGTGGTTGCATGCGGACATAGGGGTGATGTGCAGGTTAGATAAAAGCCAGTGGGTGACAGGTGTCAGTGTACGGGGGGGCTGCTATGTTGTAGTCCAGTTTTTACTGGGCGTCGGTTGGGGAAGCCCGCCCCCCTCGGGCCAGGTGATTGGCCAGCGGTGTTGGTTGCCCGGTTGCGTCAGGCAGCCCTGTATTTGAGCAGGGTTCTGGATTGTTTACTGCAGCACTTTTCAGCAGAGAGTCCCGAGCCCAACACGACGCAGTCAGCCAGTCAGCTGAGGACAGAGCTTTCCACAATATGTACCCAGGCAGTCAGGATTTGCTATTCGACCTGCTCATACAGACTTTATCGGCAATAAGCGCTCAGTCTGGATAACCAAAGAACCGACAAAAAAAAAACGTCAGACTTGACAAACAAAACGACACGACTAACCAAGCTGAACCGACAACTGGTGAAAATGGCGTGTGATATTCTGCTGCACAGGTGAAGTCATGGGGGGGTTGGGAAGGCTGAGAGGGGGATTGTAGCAGTGTTTGGACATGTTCCGTTTTTGAGATGTATTCAGTCTGTGGGGATGCAGGGCTATTTGTGGCGTATTATGTTTTATGATGACCTAATGCAGCCCCATGGTATCTCTGATGGGTCATGCCCGGTTAACCTTTACGGATGAACTTGTTAAGGGTTCGTATTACATCGCGGGGGGGGGGGGGGTCTAAGATTGGATGACTAATTCTACAACTCTCACGGGAGGATGCAGCTCTGCGTAACTGACACGTTTTAGTTTTAATACACAGAGATAGTGTATCAAGGGGAAAAGAGGTGTTTACGAGCTGAAGAGTGATGCCCAGTAGAGAGTGTGTGGGCTTTTCTTGAAGTACCTGCTGAAACTGTGATGTATGGCAAGCACACTGCGGCACTACTCTCCCAGACCCAGTACATAACCTACAGATGCAGTGCTGAGCAGAGCAACTCTGCTGAATCACAACTACCTGGCTGCCTCTTCTACTGCTGCGACTCAGCCACTCCTACTAATAACAGGACTGTGTGTGTGTGTTTACAGTATGTGTTCATATGAGAGCTGACAATAAGCAGACTATGGGGTGAAGCTAAATTGCAGAGTTGGAGGAAGCTCATTGTTTCCTGGAGCTTTGCCTCTTGTGATCTTTTAATTTGGCAGCAGATCACACACTGATCTCTCATTAGAACAGCAATATACATCAGAAGGTCCTCAGTTAGCTACCTTACTGCACTCCTATCGGTGTTACCTGTCATAGGCTATGGTATCTTAGGATGTCTCTTCATCCGGCACTGTTAAGTAACCTTATTAGTGGAAGGAAATACGGACTGTTAAGTTACCGCCTTAGTCAGTGTACCAGAAGTCCACAATAGGCATCAGCAGTTCCCTTAAGGTTAATCTTACTGCAATTCTATTCCTATCTGTCATACCCATGGTTCTCTATGACGTGACTAGTCCAGACGCTGTTAAGCTACCTCTATTTTGGAAGAAAAACACTGGTCTGACCTACCACTAGAGCCCTTTGCCCTGAGGTCAGGTCAGCATATTACAAAGAGCTATGTGGCAGATTATATGGCAGTCCTCCTTCTTATCCAAATGACTTTGGCAAAGTTGGTACGGTTATTCCAACTCATTAGGTTAGCCGATTGCGTGAGGCACTCCAGGGCTTTTTAAAGCTGGTAAAGCTTTTTTGTCTCTGACTCCAAAAACCTTGGCTGGTGTTCCGTCTAGTCACACAAACTGATTTCTACACAGCCTGGGAATCAGGCCTGATCTGAGTGAGTCTGATCTGATTCAGAACAAGTAATAGAATAATCCAGAGTGTTTGAGAGGGAGATATGCAGTAATAGATATCTCTGTGCCTATGCTCTCTGGCCTGTGTGTGGCCACGTCCAACAGTGCTCTCTCATTGTTTCCAAGGCAGAGCGAGAAGGTTCGACTTACAGAACATTGCTGACTCTAAAAGGACTACTACCTTGGAGTCGGTAAGATGGAATGGTGTTGGTTATGTAATCTAAAATTGTTAGACCAATACTCAACTCTCTCTTTCTCTGTTGATCCATACTGGCAATTGTCCAAAAGCCCAAAAGCTGGCAGTTAAACATGCAGCTAGGCTCTGTGAGAAGAGTCACGTAAAAGTTCCAGCACACCTCCACATTGAGCCACATACGTGACTCTTATCACAGGGCCTAGCTGTATGTAACTTAACTGTCAGAACAGGAGGTGTGGTGGTGGGTGACTGGGCATCTGGCCTGTGTGTTGTCTGACAGCCTGAGGCTTCAGTGTTTAATGCCTCTTACTGCACTGCTCTGTCTCACTGTACGACTCTGTACAGCTCTTCAAGGACACGATGTCAGTCAGTGCGGAATCCGGGCGCTGCCTTTTTCTCAGTAAACAAGAAGAGGAGGGAGGAGAGGGTGTGAGGGGGGGCTGTGTTAATAATTAAGGTGCTATTGATGTGATTTGAGCGGCTGGGCAGATGCAGAGACTGAGGTGTGAGCCAAAGCGATATATCTTTAACACTAGAGAGAGAGCACTGTGAATCCTATTGGCATATGTAGGTCCTGTTGGGGCTTGGCTGTGAAAAGCGATACTGGAGACCCCACACTCTTAACATTCTGTGGCGGGTCTGAGTCTGAGAATCCCTACTGTCAGTGGTTTGAAAGCTGTAGCCTAACTAAGGGCCCAGTAGGATAGGATAAGATAGGGCAGGCTAGACTGTCTCTAGGCAGCAGCCATCTCCCAGGTTTAGCTGGTCAATAGATAGAACCATCCTAACTATACACTGGTGGGATGGAACTGTTGACAGGTACTGGAAAGGAATAGGCCAACACCATTCTACAGTTGAACTTTGTGCCTGTTTGTGCGTGTTTGTTTCTGTTGCTTGCGTGAGGAGGTGACCCACCTTGTCAATATCAACCTTTAGAACTCCAGTTTTTCCCCCTGAGGTGCCCCGTTAGTTGCCCCCCAAAGGGGACCGCTAAATCCGACACGGGCGTTAACAGCGACGGTATAACCAGCAGGGCCAGTGCGTTATGCAAGCAAAGATTCCTGGCATGCCACACTTTGTTTATGAGGCGGGCGGGCGCAGACTGCTGAATCAACCGGCCCCTTCTTCCTGTCACAAGCAACAGTGCTGCCTGATGAGAGGCAGGTGGTGTCCTGTTTTGACATTCTCCCACATCAGTGGAATGGCCCCTGTTTTTGTGTGGCGGGTACAGGAAGGGGACATTATGTACAGCAGGGTTCTTCAATTCCGGTCCTGGAGGGCCGAAACACCTCTGTTTTTCATCCTCTCCTTCTAATCAGGGGCTAATTCAGACCTGGGACACCAGGTGAGTGCAATTAACTACCAGGTAGAAATAAAAAAACAGAAGTGTTTCGGCCCTCCAGGACCAAAATTTGAAGAACCCTGATGTACAGTAAATGGGCCTCTGCCTACCCGTCCGCCCATCCTGAGTGCCCGCCCACTGCACACCCTTGGCGGCGACTGGGAGTAGCTATTGAGAGGCGTGAATTGAATGCCATAAGGAAAGGACATGCGTGTGTGCGTGCTCTCATGCAGTGCTCTCCAGAGGTGTGATAACTCCCTCGATACCCGGCCCTCTGGATGTACTTTCCCTCCCTAGGTAGAGCTGTTGCATAATGGGCCCAGATTAGGACCCAGCTGAACTGAGGCTATGACCTGTTGGGTCACTCCACTGCTCCCAGAGTTTTCCAATGGAATACACTCGCACTCACGGCTCAGAGAAGGGAAGGTCATGGTTTAACAGGGAGGACGAAGGCGAGGAGGTGGTACATGATGTCTAATGTTGCTTTCCGTTTTCCTCTCTTTCAGTTCACACATCTCCCCTATCAGCATTCTTCCAGGATCCGCAGTGTAAGTACTTCTAAATCACCACGTACCCCTTTTTAACAGCAGGCGCTTCAACCCTATAGACATCTGAACGAAAACTTGCATTGCAAATTGGCCCATTGGGGTGTATCATTCAGTGCAGTTGTTTTGCTTTTAGCTACAATGTCCCCCAAAAAATACAATTTCAGCTATACCATAATGCATTAAATCAAGTGTGAAATCAAAGGATCCCCAAAAGTGTAAACAGCTTTCTGGTTAGACTAGGTTCTTCAAAGACATAGCTAAAAGCTGAGCGCTAAGCCACTGAGGAGGAGTTGGAGGGAAAGGGAGTGGGATACGGAAGGGGAGAAACAAGCCATGTAACCCATCACCAAACTATTTGCGTCGCAAAACATTTAGACTTGAGCACATCCATCACATGACATTCCTTCCCTGGTTCCTCTGTGGGTTTAGAGAAGGGGCGAGTCATGCTGTTGGCTGGTCGTTACTGTACTGTAGCCTCAGGAGGCTTGCGCAATGTGCATCAGCTGGTGGCTAGCTCCAGGAGTAGTAGCCTAATGCTTTAGCTGGTGGCTAACTTCAGGGCTAGTAATGCATTAGCTATAACTGGTGGCTAGCTCCAGGCATAGTAAACCTTATGCATTGGCTATAGCTGGTGGCTAGCTTCAGGGCTAGTAATGCATTCGCTAGGCTATAGCTTCCAGCTAGATTTTCTAGCGGACCTACAGTTGTATAGCCCTGGATGTGGACTTATGATTAAGCCTGCTGTGTCTCGGCTCTAGGCTATTCACTGTTGTGATGGCTTTATACATAGTGATGAAAACTAGAGCTGGGCACAGCGGGAGCTCATGGTGTTTCGGGAGGAGGGGGAGAAGGGTGGTACACCCCTGGGAAGCTTAACCAATGAGATACATGCATATCTAAAGGCTCAAATGTACCACACAATGGTGATCAGGACTCTACACAGACTACACATTTACATTTACGTCATTTAGCAGACGCTCTTATCCAGAGCGACTTACATTATTTTTACACACTCCTGTGTTTGTCCACTAAAGCTAAGTCTTTATCCCAGTATTACTTCAGAAGCGAAAGAATACAGTAGAGTTCAGTACAGCTAAATGAGCAGGGAGTTTTGGTGCTTGGTTCAGATAGTGCTGGATTATGTATCTCAAGTCTCTAGAGCACAAGACTGTTCCCTTTTTTAGTCAGAGTTCCCTGGTTGACCTTATTAAACCTGCCAGAGAGCAGGAAATGGGTCGCCGAGCGGTTGAACTCTGCTGCTCATGTTCCTTATTAGATGGATTCAGAGGGTTCTTACTTTGGCAACAGGAGTTAATTCTTTGTGCTTGTGTTGTTTCCACAGCATTATAGAGAGGACCATCCGCGCCGCGGTGGAACAGCACTTCTTTGACCTCAAGAGCTCCATCGACCAGAAGATCAGCAGCTATGAGAGCCAAGGGTGAGCAGTGAACACACACACTTGTACTCAATCTCACATTACACACACATAATGCCCATACATGATGCAAATATTTACACACAGAACGACATGTATCCATGTTCATACGAACATACTCACTTAGCCACACGCTCTAACATGCATTCCCTTGTCACCCATACTGTTGCCTAACGCTGGGTGGCAGGCAGCTCCAGAAAGGTCATGTTACCGCAGTTGACAGCGAGCAATGCCGATAGTTGGTTAGTTAATTATGTCTATTGACTTGTTTGGTTCCCACAGCGCGGGCCCCAGTGAGAAGCAGGTGACGGGACCAGGGCCATGTGATGGCCATGGAGAGGAGGGCCCGTGTGCGAGTGAGGAGGGCTCCGCAAGCAGTCCCCTGTCAGCCCCAGAGACAGAGAGGCACTCCGAACACAGCCCGGAGGCCCAACAGGTCAGTTATACAGTCGGTCACTCCAGGTCACTGGAGAGACACACACACACACACACACACACACACACACACACACACACACACACCCCAGACAAACAACTCCACAAGCTCTGGCCGTAATCAGAATATTGAACATTTACCATACCGAGCCTTGTCGTTGAATAGCGGCTATCACTTCATTACAAGGTTGATGCTTGTTGCTACTGTATCAGCAGAGCCTTTTGTGTGACTCATAACAAAGATGTCATTCTCCTGGGAGGGCCGAGGTGGTGGGGGACAAGGGAAGGCTTGTCATATACAGACGGTCTTCTGTTCTCCCCGAGCACAGCCAGTCCTGCATGATAACATCATCATACACTCTAGATAACTGCCAATTCCATAGACTTTAGATGTCCTACACAGAATTTGATTTAGCCTATATAGCATAAAATGACATGTCATGGATTGGGTGGGGGGGGAGACAAAGACATCTGAAGAAATCTTTGGAGGTGACATGGCAGGCATCGGTCCATCAGTCTTCCTGTGAACCATTTTAGCTCTCCTGGCTAGTGGCCTTGGATAGAGGCTGTTTCCGCTAACATCTGCCCAACCTCTCCTCCTGTCCTTCACCGCCACAGAGCTGGCTGGGCTCCACAGCCCCTTAGCCCGGAGGTGGGACCCTCCATGAATTGGGTCACCCTCTTTTAAATAGTCTGCTTGCCCCCAAAGAATGACAGCAACACCTGTTCAGACCTCAAACACCCTCCCCTCTCATACACACTGTAAGCAGTTCAACCATCTCCACCTGCTTCATAAAAATGGAGGCCACCCTCCAGGAATTCAAGCTAGCGTCTCGTCAATATAACTTCAAAAAAACTTTTGCTGTTGATGCAGCCTCCATTTGATAGTCTACATGTTGGGCTGTGCTTTAGGGGACTACTTTAATGTAGGTTTTTTTGCTTGGCAAGTGGATGCTCTTCAATGTGTCGTTTGTGATCAAGAAATTAGGTAAATCTAATACTTGAGACGTTTTTTCTGTGTGTTTTCTCCTAGGAGGTCCAGGATTGTGACTCCCAAGGCGCCACCCTAGAGGAGAGTTCTGGAATGGACCTGCATGCCGCAGAGGCTCTCGTAGATGCAGAGAACAATATCAACACTGCCAGGTTGGTTTAAAGCATTTAACAGTATTGCTACACAGCACAATTACCTCAACGGCTTAAACACCAGGCTTTGCCGTCTAGTTTATTTCCTGCCTGCCCAGAGAAGGCTGATGGCTGGCATTCAATGAAACAAGCTAATCATACTGTTGTATGCTAATCGGTACTTGGAGGCTTTTATGTTGCTGTTTTCTTAAATGTATTACGTACAACACAAACAGCCATAGCATGGCTTTGAAAAGACCGGCCGGACAAAGTTCGACTTTGCTGTGATGTGTCATTTTCAGTGACTGGGTTGGAGGCGTTCTTCTGTTGATGAGACTGTCTTGTGCTGCTGAGTGGTGGACACTTGACACGTTGTCTACTCTAATCAGTTGGATAGGGTTTTGTTCTCCCTCAGCTCATCTTTGGGGTCAACATGAAGCAAGCATACACGGATAAAAGCCTGTCAGTAGTCGTCAGTCAGTCAGCTGATCAATGGTCACTATAATGCATTGTGCATAATGCATTGTGTTCAATAGCCAGAGCAAAAACACGTTTCAAACCGGCCATTACTCATGTCTCTCCCTCTCTCTCTTGTTGCAGGCAAGAAAGCCAAGCCTGTGAGAAGATGGACCAGGCCGATCTCATCACCTGTGTAAGTGTCTCTTGACAACCCCTTCCTCTCTTCTTCATATGACTGTGTATTGAACACTGTCTAACCCTCTATCTCTCTCACACACTCTCTCTCTCTCCATCCAGGACTCTGATGAATGTGACCAGAACCCCAACACCGAGGCCAGGGGGTACCCCTACCACCCTGCCAGCTCCCACAGCTCGCACCACGTCCACCTCAGCCGCATCTTCCCACACAGCCAGTGGGAAGGTAACTTTCTCACCGTGGTTGTTTTGTGCTTTATAGACGATGTTCCACAGGGGATAGTGAGAGTGAAGTTAGTTGAAACTAAACTAAATGCATTTTCAAGTAAACCTGGATGCAAATTATTTGAATGATGGGTTGTGCTAGCTAGGTATGAAAGTGCCTTAGAAAGTAGCTTAAGCTCAAGCTGGTTGCCGCAAACCTCAGCTCACGGCAGTGTTCTCTGCTATATCTCTCCCGCTCTCCCTCCCTCCCTGCTGCATTAGCACCATCCCTAAACCATCTCCCCCTTCACATGTATGCACCTGCAAGGGAGAGGCCATGGTAAGGAGATCTTCATCCATCCTCCCTCCCTCCAGGCCTTCAGTGAGACTAATCCAGATATCTTTCTCCTTCCCCCTCTCTCTCTTTCTCTCTCTCTCCCTCCCTCTCTCCTGGGTGACCCACTTAGGGCTAGCTGACCCTTTTGTTGTTAATCACACAGTGAGTCAGTCAAGTTCATCACACCTCACCAGTATCTTAGAGCTCCAGAGAGGAAGGCCCCAAGCCCCATAGAGGAAACCTTCTCCTGCCCCACACCTGCTCCAGTGTTGACCCTTCACTGCCATGTGTGTCAGTGCACCACTACTGCGTGCTGAAAATCCCTAAACACCACCCTCAGTAATTCAATTTATGTGCAATTTATAAGTGCCATTTGATGCACCAGACCACAAGTGTTTTGCTGCTGCCTTCCAACTCTCCGTCCTCCTCTCTCCTGTCACTAGATGTGTACAGAATGACGGTGTTCTTTCCCTGGCCCTGGCCCGGGACATTATCTGTATATCTGTGTGTTTGTCATGTCTCTTCAGATCCTGGAACTACATTGTTGTCAATGGTAACATTATTCTCCAATGACTCGTGTTATAATCCGAGACTCACCTGTGTTTATCTTTCTGTCCTGGCTAGACCCAGTGCCAGCCTACAAGTCTTGGCAGGACGAGAGTGACTCTGGCGAGGCCCAGCTGTCCCCCCTGGCTGGGCGCATGGTGCCGTTGCCCCACGAGGAGGACGCCCACCCCCTCATGGCCCGCCGCTTCCTGGACTTCGGCCACAGCCAACGGTTCCTGCAGCACTCTGATCCCGACTCAACCTCTCCCACCAAAGCCCACCACTCCCTGGGGAGGTGAGACCACACACACACACACACTGAGGCACACGCACACTCACACACACGCACGCACACTAACAAATTAGGAATGGTAATATGTACAGACATGATAGGCAGCTTTGATGTTTTCCTGTTTAGTTATTCTAGCTGATGAACAGATTGCCAATGGCTCATTATGATTCTTCGTTATGATTCCTGTATAAGCAGTGTTTCAAGGAGGATATGTGCTTTACACACTGTGTGTAGAGCATAGATGGGCTTTTGCATTGAGACTGCAGGTGCAGGTCAACCTCCTCTCTCTCACCTGCCTCCATTGTTGTGGTCCCCCTCATCTAGGCCTCGCCGTGCCTCCTTCAGTTCCAAAGAGAGCAGTTTAAGGAACGACTCGGTCTCCCACCAGCTCACCAAAAAACTACAGAGCCTCAAGAAGAAGATCAAACAATTTGAGGAACAGTTTGAGAACGAGAGGAACTACAAGGTAAGATGGATACTGCAACATGAGGAACGAGTTAGTGTTAAGAATAAATGAATATAATCAGCTGTTAGTTTCAAATAGTTCACCATTAGACTCGGATACTTCTATTCACTGTCCTCCACTTCTCTCCCCAAGCCGTCTCATGGAGATAGAGCAGCTAACCCAAAGGTCCTCAAGTGGATGACAGACCTCACCAAACTCCGCAAACAGTTAAAAGGTAAGCGCAGTCTCTGTGTCTGTATGGTGGTGTTAGGGGGAGTGGGAGGGTGCTTGGTTCCATGACAGGGCTGGGATGGGGTGGGCTCAGCTGGGCGGGTGAACTTCTGTGTGCCATCCTGTTCCTCCCCTGGGCAGCCTGGTCCTGCCCTGACCCACCTGCCTGCCTGCCTGCCCAGTCGTGGCAGAGCTGGGTCAGTCTCATCACTGCATGCATGCGTGTTACAGTACACACCAACTGTGGCTCTCACATGTGGCCTTCCTTCACTGTGATGGTCCATTGTGAAAGTCCCCCACCCCCCCTCCACTCATCTATATCCATTCCATATGAACGCCCCCCCCCCCCCCCCCCCCCCCCAATCAGGAGATGCAAAGCCGAATAAGTTTCTCTCTCTTCTTTAAAATAAAAAAAACGGACGTCCCCCATCGGCAGGAAGACCGCATCTCTTTCCCAAAGGGTCCCTGAGGCACCAGGCGGTGCTTCAGTCATACAGACGCCACCACCCCTCCTCCTCCGCCCCGAACACATCCCATTATACACTTGCACGCCCCCTCACTGCCTCTAGACAGGCACCCTACCTATGTAAGTACACTCTAACAGCAGTAAGTAGAAACCAAAAACACTTCCAACTTGTTAAGTTTGAACTGAAGGTAGACTCTCTTCCTCTCTCTCACGCTTGCTCTTTTTCTCTACCTCTCTCTCTTACTCTTGCGCTCTCTCTGTCTGTCTGTTTGACGCGCTCCACTGGTCATACAGAAGCATATCCCACAGTCTCAGGAGTTTGGCAGTTGTTCTCTGTAGTGTTGTCATTTGGGTGTAAATTCTGCGGTGAACATCTTTGTGGGTGGGAGTCTAGCCAAAGTGTGGAAGCTGTATTCCTTGAATGAACATGGTCCTTGAGAACATGACAAAAATACCTCTGTGCAGTCAGACTGGTTTGTTTCATTTGCTGCTCATCCTTCCTCTCCTGTGGTTTCAGACAGACCTGTAGTAGTGGGTAGTTTGGCAGGTTTGTGTGGTTGGTCGTCAGGGCTATCCCCTTTCTCGGTCTCTGGCAGACAGACAGACAGACATGAGGACTCATGGCAGCTGCAATAACAGCCCATCAAGCAACTGCATGCCCACTGTCACTATGTCAACTATGTGAACTAACCGCACTGTTCCTCAGTCACACTCACGTCACTTCTCTCTCTCTCTCTCTTCTCTTCTCTTCTCTCTCTCTCTCTCTCTTCCCCCCTAGATGCCAAACACAAAGAGGCTGAGCTGACTCCTCAGACGCGGCCACGCAGCAACACCCTGCCCAAGAGCTTTGGTTCCACCCTGGACCAGGCAGGCCACGAGGTTGTTGAAGAGGCCAAGGGCCACCGGCCCACCAGAGAGGAGACCCTGGACCTCATCCAGCGCCGCGTCAAGGGCAAGAGAGAGGAGGACGGCTGGCCAGAGGACATCAAGGTGAGACCGGTCAAAATACACACTGTCTTAGAGAGGCCATAGAGATACTTGGAATAGAACCCTACAGCTATCAAATCCAATGAGTCCTGTCCTCAGACATACATTTACAAGTGTAAATCAATATTGTGTAAATTGCTTATGTTTCCTTTCTCTCCCTGTAGAAAATGACCAAAGAGCAGCTGTCGTGTGAGAAGACGGTCTTACAGAAGAACCTACTGCACTACGAGGGACTGCACGGCCGACCTGTGACCAGAGAGCAAAGGCTGGTGGTCAAACCGCTGTACGACCGCTACCGCCTGGTCAAGCAGATGCTCACCCGCGTCAGCATCACCCCCATCATCGCTTCCCCCTCCAGCAAAAGACGCAACCAGACCCTGCAGCCCATCATCGAGGGTGAGACGGCCCACTTCTGTGACGAGATCGAGGAGGAGGAGGAGGGCGAGGCGGAGGAAGAGGAGGCTATAGCCGAGGAGGAAGGCAGCGTGGAGGTCCAGGGGTCGGAGGTGATCATGGCTCTAGACCCAGTGTTCCAGCCCCAGACCAGCTCCCAGAGAGACAGAGACAGCCTGCTCAGGCCCAAGATGGAGGAGACCTCTGGGAAACTGGCCCTGGACCTGCGCCTGTCCAGCTCCAACGCCTCATCCATGTGAGCACACACACTCACTCACAACAGTCACTCCATTCCACTACACTCAATTCACAACAGCCTCCTCAATCTTGATACAGTAACTAGTGTAACTCTGCCATGTAGGCTACACAAACACACAACTGAACATCCACACAAACACGGTCAGCCGTGGAGGTTAAATGGGCTCTGGCCGTCATATTACTTCTATTTGAAGCACCTGGAACAGAGTTGATATCTACTACAGTCGCTGGTCTTAGGAGCTCAAGCTGGATAAGGCAGTAATCTGGTTAGGGGCGTAAGCGAGCACATAGCCCCGGGCAAGCAGCAGAGAGAGCTGCCAGACCAGCTCTAAGCCCAGGTAGCAGGGCTGGTTCAGGTGCCATGACCCTAGGTCAGGGTTCTTCAATTCCGGTCCTGGAGGGCCGAAACACTTCTGTTTTTTATTTCTACCTGGTAGTTAATTGCACTCACCTGGTGTCCCAGGTCTGAATTAGCCCCTGGTTAGAAGGAGAGAATGAAAAACAGAGGTGTTTCGGCCCTCCAGGACCGGAATTGAAGAGCTCTGCCCTAGGTCCTAACCTAACCTGACCTCTGTAATCCGGTCTCGGTATGGCCTGGCCACAGCTTGACCTGCTTCCATGCCCACAGAGGGCCACTGCCAGGTCATTTCCTGTCCCTAAACACACACTGACTTCCTGTTTTGATTTGAGGCCCCTCACTTAGTGTGCTAATGTATACCTCCTGTATCCCATAGGCCCGAGCTCCTGGAGCAGCTGTGGAAGACCCGGGCAGAGAAGAAGAAGTTGAGGAAGACTATCCGCGAGTTTGAGGACGAGTTCTACCAGCAGAACGGCAGGTAGGTACACATACACACACACACACACACACACACACACACACATACACACACATACACACACACACAAAACACACTCTTACAAACAGTGGTGCTGAAGCTTTAGCACCTGCGTCATCCCGCACCATCAACAACAGTCTTGGTGACAGAGGAAGAGCTTGAGGAGATTAGTTTTTTTTTATTTCACCTTTATTTAACCAGGTAAGCCAGTTGAGAACAAGTTCTCATTTACAACTGCGACCTGGCCAAGATAAAGCAAAGCAGTGCGATTAAAAACAACAACACAGAGTTACATATGGGGTAAAACAAAACATAAAGTCAAAAATACAACAGAAAATATATATACAGTGTGTGCAAATGTAGCAAGTTATGGAGGTAAGGCAATAAATAGGCCATAGTGCTAAATAATTACAATTAGTATTAACACTGGAATGATAGATGTTCAAGAGATGATGTGCAAATAGAGATACTGGGGTGCAAATTAGCAAAATAAATAACAATATGGGGATGAGGTAGTTGGGTGAGCTAATTTCAGATGGACTGTGTACAGGTGCAGTGATCGGTAAGGTGCTCTGACAACTGATGCTTAAAGTTAGTGAGGGAGATAAGTGTCTCCAGCTTCAGAGATTTTTGCAGTTCGTTCCAGTCATTGGCAGCAGAGAACTGGAAGGAATGGCGGCCAAAGGAGGTGTTTGCTTTGGGGATGACCAGTGAGATATACCTGCTGGAGCGCATACTACGGGTGGGTTTTGCTATGGTGACCAATGAGCTAAGATAAGGAGGGGATTTGCCTAGCAGTGATTTATAGATGGCCTGGAGCCAGTGGGTTTGGCGACGAATATGTAGTGAGGACCAGCCAACAAGAGTGTACAGGTCACAGTGGTGGGTGGTATATGGGGCTTTGGTGACAAAACGGATGGCACTGTGATAGACTACATTCAATTTGCTGAGTAGAGTGTTGGAGGCTATTTTGTAAATGACATCGCCGAAGTCAAGGATCGGTAGGATAGTCAGTTTTACGAGGGCATGTTTGGCAGCATGAGTGAAGGAGGCTTTGTTGTGAAATAGGAAGCCGATTCTAGATTTAACTTTGGATTGGATATGCTTAATGTGAGTCTGGAAGGAGAGTTTACAGTCTAACCAGACACCTAGGTATTTGTAGTTGTCCACATACTCTAGGTCAGACCCGTCGAGAGTAGTGATTTTAGGCGTGTGCCAGCAGCGTTCGATTGAAGAGCATGCATTTAGTTTTACTTGTGTTTAAGAGCAGTTGGAGGCTACGGAAGGAGTGTTGTATGGCATTGAAGCTCATTTGGAGGTTTGTTAACACAGTGTCCAATGAAGGGCCAGATGTATACAAAATGGTGTCGTCTGCGTAGAGGTGGATCTGAGAATCACTGGCAGCAAGAGCGACGACATTGATATACACAGAGAAAAGAGTCAGCCCAAGAATTGAACCCTGTGGCACCCCCATAGAGACTGCCATCGGTCCAGACAACAGGCCCTCCGATTTGACACATTGAACTCTATCTGAGAAGTAGTTGGTGAACCAGGCGAGGCAGTCATTTGAGAAACCAAGGCTATTTAGTCTGGCAATAAGAATCCGGTGGTTGACAGTCGAAAGCCTTGGCCAGGTCGATGAAGACGGCTGCACATTATCGATCGCGGTTATAATATTGGACCTTGAGCGTGGCTGAGGTGCACCAACGACCAGCTTGGAAACCGGATTGCATAGCGGAGAAGGTACGGTGGGATTCGAAATGGTCGGTGATCTGTTTATTAACTTGGCTTTCAAAAACTTTTGAAAGGCAGGGCAGGATGGATATAGGTCTGTAACAGTTTGGATCTAGAGTGTCACCCCCTTTGAAGAGGGGGATGACCGCGGCAGCTTTCCAATCTTTGGGGATTTCAGACGTTACGAAAGAGAGGTTGAACAGGCTAGTAATAGGGGTTGCGACAATTTCGGCGGCTAAGTTTAGAAAGAAAGGGTCCAGATTGTCTAGCCCAGATGATTTGTAGGGGTCCAGATTTTGCAGCTCTTTCAGAACATCAGCTGTCTGAATTTGTGTGAAGGAGAAGCGGGGGGGGGGGCATGGACAAGTTGCAGCGGAGGGTGCGGAGCTGGTGACCGGGGTAGTGGTAGCCAGGTGGAAAGCATGGCCAGCCGTAGCAAAATGCTTGTTGAAATTCTCGATTATTGTAGATTTATCGGTGGTGATAGTGTTTCCTAGCCTCAGTGCAGTGGGCAGCTGGGAGGTGCTTTTATTCTCCATGGACTTAACAGTGTCCCAAAACTTTTTGGAGTTAGTGCTACAGGATGCACATTTCTGTTTGAAAAGCTAGCCTTTACTTTCCTAACTGCTTGTGTATATTGGTTCCTAACTTCCCTGAAAAGTTGCATATCGCGGGGGCTATTCGATGCTAATGCAGTACGCCACATGATGTTTTTGTGCTGGTCAAGGGCAGTCAAGTCTGAGGAGAACCATGGGCTATATCTGTTCTTAGTTCTGAATTTTTTGAATGGGGCATGCTTATTTAAGATTGAGAGGAAAGTACTTTTAAACAACAACCAGGCATCCTCTACTGACGGAATGAGATCGATATCCATCCAGGATACCTGGGCCAGGTCAATTAGGAAGGCCTGCTCGCTAAAGTGTTTTAAGGAGCATTTGACAGTGATGAGGGGTGGTCGTTTGACCGCGGACCCGTTACGGACGCAGGCAATAAGGCAGTGATCGCTGAGATCCTGGTTGAAGACAGCGGAGGTGTATTTAGAGGGTAAGTTAGTCAGGATGATATCTATAAGGGTGCCCATGTTTACGGATTTAGGGTTGTACCTGGTAGGTTCCTTGATAATTTGTGTGAGATTGAGGGCATCTAGTTTGGATTGTAGGATGGCCGGGGTGTTAAGCATATCCCAGTTTAGGTCACCAAGCAGTACGAACTCTGAGGATAGATGGGGGGCAATCAATTCACATATGGTGTCCAGGGCACAGCTGGGGGCTGAGGGGGGTCTGTAGCAAGCGGCAACAATGAGAGACTTATTTCTGGAAAGGTGGAATTTTAGAAGTAGGACCTCAAACTGTTTGGGCACAGACCTGGATAGTATGATATAGCTCTGCAGGCTATCTCTACAGTAGATTGCAACTCCACCCCCTTTGGCAGTTCTATCTAGACGGAAAATGTTCTAGTTGGGGATGGAAATGTCTGAATTTTTGGTGGCCTTCCTAAGCCAGGATTCAGACACTGCTTGAAACAAAGGAGCTATTTGAGGCAGTTTGAGAGAGACTTGGGGCTTTACAGTGAAATTGTATAATAAGAACTAACTGGAACAGCAATAGGCAAGGCATATTGACATGGGAGAGAGGCATAAAGCAATCACAGGTGTTAATTGAGAGCGCTAAGACAGCAACTGGTAATGGCGATGAAAGTTTGGGCTGAGGCTAAACAGATAAACAGGACAGGGTACCGTGTAAAGGAACAGTCCAGTGAACAGTAATATGTGAGTCCGAGAGCAGTTCGAATTGGTGCTACAGCACAGGCTAGCAGGAAGCACGGTTGTTGTTTGCGTGTGTTAGCGGGCCGGGGCTAGCAGATGGATCTTCGTGGTCGTCGCAACGGGAAGCCTGTTGAAACCACAGACGATTACGTCGGCAGACCAGTCGTGACGGATCGGCGGGGCTCCGTGTCGACTCTAGGAGGTCTTAGAGTGGTCTTAGACAGGAGCCCTGTCTGATCCTAACTTATTTACAGCTGCATGTTTATGATTGTGCACCCTTGGGATGCAGTAAACGGCCACATATCCAACTGGTGTCTCAGACCTTCTCACTCTCCCTCTACAGGAACGTCCAGAAGGAGGACAGGCTCCCAATGATGGACGAATACAAAGAGTATAAACGGATCAAAGCCAAACTGCGTCTGCTGGAGGTGCTCATCAGCAAGCAGGACTCCTCCAAGTCCATCTAGAGAGAGCGACCATCCTGCTTCCGTCCCTTCATCCCACCTGACACAGAGGGTCACCCGCATCACCCCAGGCCTACATGTCACCCCTACATGGCCCATACCCCTCCCCATCCCTTATCAACCATCCCCCTACCCGCACCCCTGAGGGAAGGCATGGCAGCCACCATATCTCACTGCTGTCTCACCACCACAACCCATCTGTTTCTACCACCCCCAGCTCATGTACAGGTGAGGTGTCCTCACTGGGGACTCTGAGGGAGAAGTCACATCTTCATTCCACCAGTCAAGACTCAACACACACCTTTTTACTTCTTTCTGTGAGTTGCATTCGGAGGAATTCCCCCTTCCTCATTAGTTTTGTTTTTGTTGTAGCTTTTTTTTTCATGAACTTTTCACGTACCGTAGTTTCTCATACTGAGAAATCATATTGGAGAGGACAGGAGCTTGTGTTTTGTAGCGCATTTTAGTCACCTGGCCACCAGTTTAGATGTAACAAACTGAACTCTCCCTCCCTTGGAGCGAGGAGACTGGTCATCCTATTTCAGACATTCAGACTTGCATGGATTCAGTTAACGAACTCGATCTTCAACACTGGGATGCTTTTATGTCGTCTGAGTGCGAGTTTTTGGGAGAAAAAAAGTATTTACTGTGTATGTATTCTTGTAAATCAATATGTACACAAATGTTTTTATGTTACAGTATGTTATTTTCCTTGAATGAAGAGTAATTCCTTCTTGGGTTTGAAAAGAAACTTACTGTGTTAGTATGTTATGCTATTCCCAATTGTTCTATTATTACACATTTGCCACTATGGAAACTGAGTGAGTTTTATCAGTTGGGACTGGTTGTGCTGTTCTTTTGTCTTTGTTGTTTTTATATTTGGATCATCAGTCATCACTGAAAGGAGTTTGGCACACACCAGGTGGGCAGGACAGCCAGTTAGGTGAATGACTTGGTGTTCCTGTACCTTAACCGTCTCCGTTTTCTGGCAATAAAGCTAGACGGCTTGACTTCTTTGCTGTTATTTTTTTTTTATACGCGTTAAAGTTCAGTTGCAGAGTGGATCTTTGTGCGAAGTGTCCTGGATGGGGTGTTAGATTAAAGCTAAGGTCGTTTCAACTACATCAGTATTATGCTAAATACAGCATATTGCAATGTTAGGGTGTGATTGATGGTTTGTAGCCCTGTTAGATGGTGTTGGACTTCAACCTACAGTCAGTGACCACCACCTTTTAGTATGGCAGACAGACGCTCCCTATCACTCCCAGGTGCCCAGTTATACAACCAGGTGTGTTGACCAACACCCTACTGCACACAGCCAGTATTTAACCCCCAGTGTTGTGTGTGTGTGTGTGCTGATGGACAGTGGTCAGGCGGACGGACAGGCTTCTTGAGGACAGCCATAAATAACATATCACCATTTGGCTGCCAGTCAGTCTAGAGGTCCAGTCAGCCCTGTGCCCAGGTTAAGATGACAAACGGTCCTCATGTCCTAATCCCCTTTTAGTCACTGGGGAATGTGAACACCAGCTAAAAGAGTTCTCATGCATCCCATATCCAGTGTGAGGTAAACTCGGCGTCCTCGTTTAAGGTTTCACTTATTACGCAGGACGGTGTCTCTGACGGGAAGTTCCCATAGCGAGTCGAGAACAGGATCAGCTGACTTCCTGGCTTTTAACGACTTGTGCCACAACATCTAGCTACTGTATGTTGTTGCACCAAAAGTTCAATGTGTCCTTGGTTAGCTATCACTGACCCACTGCAAATGAGCTACATTCCTTCAATCTAGAGTCACACAATGTCAGGCTATTGCTATACATGTTTTCTCTGGTGCTGCGGTCTCTCTCTCGCTGGGTGTTGGTGGAGTCTATTTTTCATTATGGGATATGTCCCATAGTGAGCCAGAGTGTTTGGCCAGGCAATGTAGAGCCAGGTCATTGTCAGGTCCAGGGGAGTTGTCTGACCACAGGGCTCTGAGAAGGCTTTACCACGGCCAAGCAGAACCAACAGCACCTTGACCCCTGACATCAATAAGTTGACCCTTGACATAAATTGTCTGTCTCTAGAGCCTGAAAGCTCTTCTGGGCTTCATTATAAAGGTCCCATGCAACAACAACAGAGTCAAAGTGATGCATGTTTGGAATGACACTGAGGTGTGTCTGGTCTGTCGGCGTCATGCCTCCTCGGCGTGCTGTCTGCCACTCCTTAGAGGTCATCGATCCTAACCTTTGACCCCTAGCTAAACTAGCAGTCAGCATCACATCACTATCCTTCAGAAGCTCTCTGGACTTGACAAGACCAAGCAGGAGCTTTAGAGAGGAGCAGCAACCCTTCATATGTTTAGTTGACTAGTTCTAGTCCTGGCAATAAAATACAAAAAAACATTTGAGATATGTTGTAGACTAAATGTCTATGCACATTAGGGTGGGGAGGGGAATTAGTGCTGTTTGCTTGTTGTTGGGAATGGGAAGGCACCACCAGTGGCACTAACTGTAAGGATCTGCATCTGCTTCAGGAGGTGGAATAATGGAAGACATTGTCAGTCAGACCAACACACCCAGAATATAGGGAATCTAATTTTGCCTGAAGGATGTTTGCGCTGAACCAAGAGTTTTGCCTTGGTCCCTCACTGGGTCAAAACCAAGTCATGTAACCTTTGTTTGAGTTGGCAGGGTGTGGTGTATGTATGGGTGGACAGTGTGGGGAGGTTCTAGAAGTTATTTGCACAGCATTCTGAGAATGCAGCCCTTGTTTTGTTTGTCAATTTGTACCTTGTTTTAGAAGCACTACTTATATCTGAAGGATGAATGTCAGAATTTGTTAAATTATTTCTAACACATTTGGCCCCTCGTTTCACTTTCTGTGATGTTCAAACTTGATAATGTGTTCTTTTTTTATTACCATTATTTTGTATTTTAAAAAAATTAACCTCTCACTAATACATTTATACAGTGTAGTACCTCTGTATTGGCTAAGAATCTGCTATGTTTTTGTTTTGTAGAAGCTAGTCTCAGTAGTTGGCTTGCATGGCAAAGATTTGTATTGTTTCTATTTTTGTGCCATGAAGATGAAGCAATAAATTAGCATCAATGGAATGTGGGGCCTTGTTAACCCAGTATGTGTATTTTCTGAGTATATGGCTGATTAATGTTTAATCTATTAATGGGACTAACTTGGTCTGCTGTTTTCTACCTTGCAGGCCAACCCATGAATCTGTCACTTGACTAACTGCTGTGAGAGTTCCAACGCAACTCAGTTTTCTGTCTGCTTAAACCAGCATTTTTACCACTTTTGTTGTCAGCATAATGTTTTTTGGGGCACTGCTTTAACCAAATGAGAACAGATTATCAATGTGGTGACAATGATGGAGGTATATTTGGACTTAACATTCCGATTTGTATTATTTTAAAAGGAAAAAAAATTGAAATTGGTCGATGGATTTGTAATTTCCATGTCAAATTCCAAGGGCTTTTTTACTCTTATTATTTTGTGTTGTGCCTGCAACAAGTGGTAAAAATAATGTGAAGCCCACCGGCTATAAGGATGTACACTGACCCTGTTCATAGCCCCATGCCATCCCACGCATGTTTGTTTTTATGGCCCATGGAGCCGGTGGCAGGTTGCGTCAACTGACTAGCTGATCAGCCACTGGCTCCCAGAGCCTCCCCTAGCTATATGTGGAGCTGTGTTTTACATCTATATATGTATCTATAAATGCTTTTGTGAATGCGTGTTTTCCTTCATTTACACATAAAGTACTATCAGTAATAACGTATATTAAAATGATGAAAAAATAAATAAAAATAAAGATTGTAATTTACATGCCTCATGCTGAAGTTGTCTTCAAACTGATGGGAAAGGTTACTTTAACCAGATGCACAATTTAAATACAAATACATAAGCTATATTGATGTCAAAATATACTGCACCATATATAGCCCAGTATGCATGCAATAACTAGCTAGGTGGTTTGCAGTGTGTTGAGTCAGGTGAATGCCATTAAGAGCAGGAATGTGTTTTCATGGAGGACAGAGATGGTTGTGAGAGCGGGCTGACCATGACCCGGCAGAATAAGAGTGGAAAAACTGAGTCTGCAAAGAACAGAGGTCAGCACGTGAGGCAGCAGTTGGAACAAACCCAAACAGTGATATATTACACCCTATACACATAAAAATCCATCTCCATGGGCCCCTGAATTGCCATAGCACATGTTGATCAGCAGACCATCTTTAGGCTTAATTACATGCCTTTTTAACAAGATTTAGTGAATGATCAATGTATCCCTGAGCCCCAAAAAAAACATATTTCATTACCTGGCTTTTACACACTTCTAGAATGAGGATGGCCATGTTTTTTTAAATGTGTTACTGCTGCCCTCTAGTGTTCACAGCCAACACTAACACTTAGGTAACACCACACTTTATGAAGACCAGCTTTGGTAACGCTTGAAGATGCCCTCCAGGATCTTAAGCACAACAAATTCGTAACATACGAATTGCAAAAATAAAACATGATGTAGTACACAAAAAATGGGGACCACTTTTGGCTCGTGAGCACCACTTTCAAAACAAAATTATGAAGTTATATGAATGTTTGAGAGGGCCTCTTTAATTTGGAGAGTGCCTAGATGGTCAATAGCTGCAGCGTATTCATTAGCTCTTGCAACGAAAACTGTTTACCATTTAAGAACCAAACGGAAGCAAACAGAGCAAATGGAACGAAACAGGGAGGGACTTAGCTGAATTTGTCCAATAGAAATTAGTTTTCCATTTGGAGTAAACGGTTTCTGTTGTAAACGTTTTGCAACAGACAAAACATTTTGCAACAGAATTGACGTAATGAATACACCCCAGCTCAAACTACCAAGTGCAACAGTTAACCCTAACCCAAGTTTCATGTCCTCAACCCTAACCCTAACTTCATGTCCACACAGGATGTCAACCCTGACCCTACACTTAGCCATAACCCTAACATCATTTCCACACCCCAGCTCAACGCTCCCTGACCCTAATTTATTATATTTCCACACTATGGGGTTGAAGTAACACTGAAATTGTGTAAATGATAATAATGCCCTTTTTGTGTAAGAGCTGTTGTTTTTTAAATGCCTGGAATTTCAGCCTGTTCAGGTGGGATGGAACTTTTGGCCCACATCATGACATCACAATGTGATCTGATTATAATAGAACAATGACTGTTCATCTGGGTAAGAGGGTTGGTTCTAGACCATCCTCTCAGCCAATCAGGGCTGTGTATGTAAATATCTTCACATTTGTTTCCCAACACCCACACAATCAGACTGAGCATTTTATTTGAGTTATTTTAATTAAACAGTGATTTATTAGATATACAGTGATGATTTAAAAATACAATTACAAAGACTGCATGGATGCTTTAACCCTAACCCTAGTAAGTATATTGATCGCTGTGGGAATGGAACACACAATTTGTGTTTCAACTTGCTAGTGTGCCATGCTCTTTTAATGGTTACATTGTTGAATTATATATATCATTTAAAAAATGACACATCCATAAAAATGTTTTAATTCATAGATATTTATTCAATTATATATAAAATGATCATACTAATGCACACAGTCCCTACTACAGTCATGTGTTAATGTTCAGCGCAGTTAGACAATGATTCAAGGCCACACTTCCCCCACTTAAAATGAAAGGCCATTTTTGTCAGTCATAAACTGAGCAGCTGAAGACATGAGGACTGTCAAGCGGAATGGAGGGTTTTGGACACCCATGGTCTGTAGATCCAAGCTGGTGTCCTTAAGCTGTCTCAGTGCAGATCCCTGAGTGGTCCAGCTCTGACATCTGACCTCTGCCTGTACCTCTCCAGAGGGACCCTGTGACTCAGCTGTGAGAGGTTAAGAAGGATGCAGTCTGGGATTGTCAGTGATATGTGGATAGCTAGTAGAAATGTTTTGTGTTTTACCATTACCACCAATGGAGAGATTAGCCCTCCATCCTGTATGACAAGTGGCCTGAAATGTAATGTACAAGGCCACGAACATGGCTGCTAATGGCATTCCCTGACAACAACAGATGCCATCCTCATACACTCCCAGTCTGAGTCACACATACATCTCCTCTCATCCTTACAATGGTGTCTCACAGTCAGCTGCATAGTCCAAGTTAATTAAAAAGCCGGGTTAGGTTCTATGTTATGATGAGAGGCGGATGTTCTATACATTATTATGATCAATGTACCCACTGTAACCATGTATCCAAATGGAACCACTTCTTGAACATACGAGAAGGAAAATGCTCAAAGGGATTCTAGGTGGCCATGGTATACACAACAATGCTCATTACAAATGCTATTTACTATCATTTAATATCCACAATAGAAGAAACGTTAGAAAATATTTCACCGACCTTGATATAATATACATCATATTATACAAGTTGCCTATGTCCTGCATATTTCAACATCGCTCTGGAATGGCTAAGTACAACCATAGTAAACCTAAATAGAATCATTTCAATCAGAAATACCAGAATCTCAGAACAAAATAACAATATAGGCTAGGAGTAGAAAGAGACAGTAGGGGTCAATTCCATTTCAAGTCGAGATTCATTGAAAAGTGCCTTAGTTTTAATCTAATTTCAAATGTCCAATTCATTAATTGAATTTCAATTCACTTCCTGAATTGATGAGAGCTGAAATTAAATTCAACCCAACCCTGGTAAAAGATGTGTTGAGCTTGGAATAACGTTAACCAGAATTATTGTGCCTGATGCAGAAGTTGAAAAGTAGTCTTTTGGTCATGTTACAGGAAATTAGCTTTATACAAAACCAAAAAGTGCTAATGCATTAATTCTTTGACATGATGTCCATTGTCTAATGTTTTTGCATCAATTTGGCACGTCTCGTTAAGATACAAAGGTTTGCAAACAAACACTCGGATACAGTATGAGAGTGCATTATGGCACATCAAGTAAGCCAAGTCAAGACTGACAGCATATTGGTTATCACTTTACAATTATGTATCTACAGTGCATTTAAAAACACCACATTAACATGGTCCCCCATTGCAGCCAATTCCAATATGAGAAAAAAACATGATCGATTCAAAATTGGAAATTGTATGCATTTGAGGCATGTGGCTCCTGGTGAATGCTGGTCCAGGTTGGTCCTCCAGTCTGTCTGTTGAATTCCTCCAACAATTATCTCAGGTGGTATTTAAAGGGAGGACCCACTCAGGCTGCAGACAGTGAGAGAGCCTGTGGGTTTCACCTTGGTAGTGTAGTGACCATAGCCTCAGTCCTGCAGTCCATCCATGGCTGACTGACTGACCTGATGATCATCAGTGCATTTCTACATCAGTAATACCACATGGCATAGCCAGAGCCCCATGGTTGGTTTGAGAGGCCTCTGTTGGCCACAGTGTAGTTTCCTAGGCCAATCAACAACCTTCTTCTTGGTCAAAGCTCATTTAGTCTATCCCTTTAAAAAAGACCAGTTTATTCTCCCTCTCTGTTCAGTCTGAGGAGAGTGTGGCCCTCCTAATACTAATATAGCTAAATGGCCCCCTATGAGTCTGTAGGACAACAGTCCCCCTCTAGCCCAACACGTTGGCAGCCAGTCTTAAGACACTCTGCTCCAGGCAGCATTGTTGAGTCTTGGGGTCACTTTGACCATGGAAGCCAATGTTCTCTTTCTCCCTCTCCTCCTCTCTCTCTATGGCAGCCCAGACCCATGCTCAGAGCCACCTGTCAGGCTAGTGTTACTCCGAGGAGTTGACTGTGAAATCAGACGTCTGTGTGTGCGTCAGAGTGGCTCCCTTTGGCTGCTGCCTGTGGCTGTGGGGTCCTGCAATCGGGGGCTGATAGTCATAAAGGCTTGTCTATGACAGATACACCTGTAGGGGAGATAGCAGAGGACTTCATTCTTCAGACCAGAAGGTCCCGAGTTTGGCTGCATAGACAAGCATTTGAAAGGGGGTATGAAAGGTCAAAAGGTGAAAGGTTACCTGCATAGCTTCGGCCATTGCTCATGTTGGTGGGGATGAGGCTCCACTTGTCTGTGGCAGGGTTGTAATACTCCACTGAGGAGAGGTTACAGGAGCCGTCATCTCCTCCGATCACATACAGCAGTCCGTTTATGGCACATACTCCTGCACCAACACAGGGGGGAGAGGTTTGAGACACACACACACTATGCCCACATTTTCTGCATCTCATGGTCTCTAGAGTGTCTATGTGTGTTAGGCTAATTACCGGCATTCCTCCGACACATGTTCATGTCGCACACTTGTTTCCAGGTGTTACTAGGGGGATCGTACACCTCCACACTCTTCCTCACCAGGGGCCCGTCGTGGCCCCCCGCCGCATACAGTTGCCCGCTCAGCACCCCAACACCTACAAACACACCACACACAAACGTCTGGTTATATCTCTTCACACAAACACATATACTTGCACATGCTACAGATGTTTACCAGCCATAACTGTAGTCCATTAATAACCCCAAGGTGGAGCTAAGTAACAGTTCCAGTAATTATCTCTATAGCAGTAATCTAATTTCAGTGCTCATTCGGTTTAGATCGCTGTATGCTAGGGTTGGGTGATGTTAACCTTTGTCCTATCGTGATTATGTACCCATAAAACATTGTGATGTACGATGCTATCGCCCCTATAGCGTGAAATCGAATGCAACTGGACGAATCATGACGAAAGATGATGTTGAAAGCCTGGGCAGAGGCGAAGTGCTGGCAATGGCAAATCTTTTCTAACATTCCTTTCTGGTGGAGGAGAAGAACAGAGGTGTGTGTGTGTGTATGTGTGTGTCTCGCACATGATGGAGCAGTGACTATCTGATAAGGAACAGGCTGCCTTACCATAGTGAGCTAGGTTATAGGCCTCCATCATGGGCTGGATAGAAGTAGTCTACCTGGATAATAATTGCTTTATTTGCCTCGTAAAATAATAGAGCTGTGATTGATAATAGCCTATGCCTAGGCTATAAACTTTCATTCTTGTTACTCTTGAAAGCCACAACAACTTTAGGTTTTCAACCTCGCATGGAGGGTTTTTCCCGGCCCGCATGGATCATTTCTTTCTTAATAAGCTTAAACTTTAAATTCGTATTTTCTATAGGCTATTGATATCGTTTAGTCCCCTGGCTGTTTTTAGGCTATTCAAATAACTTTTAACCGTTAGATGTATTGTTTGATCGGGAGAAAACCATGCATAAAACGATGAAGTGTAGCCTTCAGTCATATTTATAGCTTATCGAATTGAGAGAGAAGGGAATATAGGCTACGTTTTTCTTTAAACAGCTAGTCAATATAGTTAAGGAGTGTCCGTTATAAAAAATACTATAAATTAAAATATTTAGGCTATAGCCTAATACCCACGACATCAAACTATGAAATAACACATATGGAATCCTGTAGTAACCAAAAAAGTGTTAAGCAAATCAAAATAGATTTTATATTTGAGATTCTTCAAATAGCCACCCTTTGAATTGATCACAGCTTTGCACACTCTTGGCATTCTCTCAACCAGCTTCATGAGGTAGTCACCTGGAATTCATTTCAATTAACAGGTGTGCCTTCTTAAAAGTTAATTTGTGGAATTTCTTTCCTTCTTAATGCGTTTGAGCCAATCAGTTGTGTTGTGACAAGGTAGGGGTGGTATACAGAAGATAGCCCTATTTGGTAAAAGGCCAAGTCCATATTATGGCAAGAACAGCACAAGTAAGCAAAGAGAAACGACAGTCCATCATTACTTTAAGACATCAAGGCCAGTCAATCCGGAAAATTTCAAGAACTTTGAACGTTTCTTCAAGTGCAGTTGCAAAAACCATCAAGCGCTATGATGAAACTGGCTCTCATGAGGACCAACACAGGAATGGAAGACCCAGAGTGACCTCTGCTGCACAGGATAAGTTCATTAGTGTTACCAGCCTCAGAAATTGCAGCCCAAATAAATGCTTCACAGAGTTAAAGTAACAGACACACCTCAACATCAACTGTTCAGAGGAGACTGTGTGAATCAGGCCTTCATGGTCGAATTAATGCAAAGAAACCACTACTAAAGGACACCAATAAGAAGACACGACCTGCTTGGGCCAAGAAACACGAGCAATGGACATTAGACCGGTGGAAATGTGTCCTTTGGTCTGGAGTCCAAATTGGAGATTTTTGGTTCCAACCGCCGTGTCTTTGTGAGACGCGGTGTGGGTGAACGGATGATCTTCGCATGTGTATTTCCCACCGTAAAGCATGGAGGAGGTGGTGTTATGGTGTGGGGGTGTCTGTGATTTATTTAAAATTCAAGGCACACTTAACCAGCATGGCTACCACAGCATTCTACAGCGATACGCCATCCCATCTGGTTTGGGCTTAGTGGGACTACCATTTGTTTTTCAACAGGACAATGACCCAACACACCTCCAGGCTGTGTAAGGGCTATTTTACCAAGAAGGAGAGTGATGGAGTGCTGCATCAGATGACCTGGCCTCCACAATTCCCTGACCTCAACCCAATTGAGATGGTTTGGGAGTCGGACCGCAGAGTGAAGGAAAAGCAGCCAACAAGTGCTCAGCATATGTGGGAACTCCTTCAAGATTGTTGGAAAAACATTCCAGGTGAAGCTGGTTGAGAGAATGCCAAGAATGTGCAAAGCTGTCATCAAGGCAAAGGGTGGCTATTTGAAGAATCTCAAATATAAAATATATATATAAAAGAAAAACCCTTGAATGAGTAGGCCATATCACAGACTGGCCAATAAAAAGAAAAGATTAAGGGCAGTCTGAGATATGGCTTTTTCTTTGCAACTCTGCCTAGAAGGCCAGCAACCCTGAGTCGCCTCTTCACTGTTGACGTTGAGACTGGTGTTTTGCGGGTACTATTTAATGAAGCTGCCAGTTGAGGACCTGTGAGGCGTCTGTTTCTCAAACTAGACACTAATGTATTTGTCCTCTTGCTCAGTTGTGCACCGGGGCCTCCCACTCCTCTTTCTATTCTGGTTAGAGCCAGTTTGCGCTGATCTGTGAAGGGACTAGTACACAGCATTGTACGAGATCTTCAGTTTCTTGGCAATTTCTCGCATGGAATAGCCTTCATTTCTCAGAACAAGAATAGACTGATGAGTTTCAGAAGAAAATTATTTGTTTCTGGCCATTTTGAGCCTGTAATCGAACCCACAATTGCTGATGCTCCAGATACTCAACTAGTCTCAAGAAGGCCAGTTTTATTGCTTCTTTAATCAGCCCAACAATTTTCAGCTGTGCGAACATTATTGCAAAAGGGTTTTCTAATGATCAATTAGCCTTTTAAAATGATAAACTTGGATTAGCAAACACAACGTGCCATTGGAACACAGGACTGATGGTTGCTGATAATGGGCCTCTGTACGCCTATATAGATATTCCATAAAAAATCTGCCGTTTCCAGCTACAATAGCCATTTACAACATTAACAATGTCTACACTGTATTTCTGATCAATTTGATGTTATTTTAAATGGACAGAAAAAATACTTTTCTTTCGAAAACAAGGACATTTCTAAGTGACCCCAAACTTTTGAACGGTAGTATATATACAGTGGGGAGAACAAGTATTTGATACACTGCCGATTTTGCAGGTTTTCCTACTTACAAAGCATGTAGAGGTCTGTAATTTTTATCATTAGGTACACTTCAACTGTGAGAGACGGAATCTACAACAAAAATCCAGAAAATCACATTGTATGATATTTAAGTAATTAATTTGCATTTTATTGCATGACATAAGTATTTGATCACCTACCAACCAGTAAGAATTCCGTCTCTCACAGCCCTGTTAGTTTTTCTTTAAGAAGCCCTCCTGTTCTCCACTCATTACCTGTATTAACTGCACCTGTTTGAACTCGTTACCTGTATAAAAGACACCTGTCCACACACTCAATCAAACAGACTCCAACCTCTCCACAATTGCCAAGACCAGAGAGCTGTGTAAGGACATCAGGGATAAAATTGTAGACCTGCACAAGGCTGGGATGGGCTACAGGACAATAGGCAAGCAGCTTGGTGAGAAGGCAACAACTGTTGGCGCAATTATTAGAAAATGGAAGAAGTTCAAGATGATGGTCAATCACCCTCGGTCTGGGGCTCCATGCAAGATCTCACCTTGTGGGGCATCAATGATCATGAGGAAGGTGAGGGATCAGCCCAGAACTACACGGCAGGACCTGGTCAATGACCTGAAGAGAGCTGGGACCACAGTCTCAAAGAAAACCATTAGTAACACACTACGCCGTCATGGATTAAAATCCTGCAGCGCACGCAAGGTCCCCCTGCTCAAGCCAGCGCATGTCCAGGCCCGTCTGAAGTTTGCCAATGACCATCTGGATGATCCAGAGGAGGAATGAGAGAAGTTCATGTGGTCTGATGAGACAAAATAGAGCTTTTTGGTCTAAACTCCACTCGCCGTGTTTGGAGGAAGAAGAAGGATGAGTACAACCCCAAGAACACCATCCCAACCGTGAAGCATGGAGGTGGAAACATCATTCTTTGGGGATGCTTTTCTGCAAAGGGGACAGGACGACTGCACCGTATTGAGGGGAGGATGGATGGGGCCATGTATCGCGAGATCTTGGCCAACAACCTCCTTCCCTCAGTAAGAGCATTGAAGATGGGTCGTGGCTGGATCTTCCAGCATGACAACGACCCGAAACACACAGCCAGGGCAACTAAGGAGTGGCTCCGTAAGAAGCATCTCAAGGTCCTGGAGTGGCCTAGCCAGTCTCCAGACCTGAACCCAATAGAAAATCTTTGGAGGGAGCTGAAAGTCCGTATTGCCCAGCGACAGCCCCGAAATCTGAAGAATCTGGAGAAGGTATGGAGGAGTGGGCCAAAATCCCTGCTGCAGTGTGTGCAAACCTGGTCAAGACATACAGGAAACGTATGATCTCTGTAATTGCAAACAAAGGTTTCTGTACCAAATATTAAGTTCTGCTATTCTGATGTATCAAATACTTATGTCATGCAATAAAATGCAAATTAATTACTTAAAAATCATACAATGGTGATTTTCTGGATGAAGTGTACCTATGATAAAAAATTCCAGACCTCTACATGCTTTCTAAGTAGGAAAACCTGCAAAATAGGCAGTGTATCAAATACTTGTTCTCCCCTCTGTATATATATACAGTGGGGGGAAAAAGTATTTAGTCAGCCACCAATTGTGCAAGTTCTCCCACTTAAAAAGATGAGAGAAGCCTGTAATTTTCATCATACAGTGGGGGAAAAAAGTATTTAGTCAGCCACCAATTGTGCAAGTTCTCCCACTTAAAAAGATGAGAGAGGCCTGTAATTTTCATCATAGGTACACGTCAACTATGACAGACAAATTGAGGAAAAAAATCCAGAAAATCACATTGTAGGATTTTTTATGAATTTATTTGCAAATTATGGTGGAAAATAAGTATTTGGTCACCTACAAACAAGCAAGATTTCTGGCTCTCACAGACCTGTAACTTCTTCTTTAAGAGGCTCCTCTGTCCTCCACTCGTTACCTATATTAATGGCACCTGTTTGAACTTGTTATCAGTATAAAAGACACCTGTCCACAACCTCAAACAGTCACACTCCAAACTCCACTATGGCCAAGACCAAAGAGCTGTCAAAGGACACCAGAAACAAAATTGTAGACCTGCACCAGGCTGGGAAGACTGAATCTGCAATAGGTAAGCAGCTTGGTTTGAAGAAATCAACTGTGGGAGCAATTATTAGGAAATGGAAGACATACAAGACCACTGATAATCTCCCTCGATCTGGGGCTCCACGCAAGATCTCACCCCGTGGGGTCAAAATGATCACAAGAACGGTGAGCAAAAATCCCAGAACCACACAGGGGGGACCTAGTGAATGACCTGCAGAGAGCTGGGACCAAAGTAACAAAGCCTACCATCAGAAACACACTACGCCGCCAGGGACTCAAATCCTGCAGTGCGAGACGTGTCCCCCTGCTTAAGCCAGTACATGTCCAGGCCCATCTGAAGTTTGCTAGAGTGCATTTGGATGATCCAGAAGAGGATTGGGAGAATGTCATATGGTCAGATGAAACCAAAATATAACTTTTTGGTAAAAACTCAACTCGTCGTGTTTGGAGGACAAAGAATGCTGAGTTGCATCCAAAGAACACCATACCTACTGTGAAGCATGGGGGTGGAAACATCATGCTTTGGGGCTGTTTTTCTGCAAAGGGACCAGGACGACTGATCCGTGTAAAGGAAAGAATGAATGGGGCCATGTATCGTGAGATTTTGAGTGAAAACCTCCTTCCATCAGCAAGGGCATTGAAGATGAAACGTGGCTGGGTCTTTCAGCATGACAATGATCCCAAACACACCGCCCGGGCAACGAAGGAGTGGCTTCGTAAGAAGCATTTCATGGTTCTGGAGTGGCCTAGCCAGTCTCCAGATCTCAACCCCATAGAAAATCTTTGGAGGGAGTTGAAAGTCCGTGTTGCCCAGCGACAGCCCCAAAACATCACTGCTCTAGAGGAGATCTGCATGGAGGAATGGGCCAAAATACCAGCAACAGTGTGTGAAAACCTTGTGAAGATTTACAGAAAACGTTTGACCTGTGTCATTGCCAACAAAGGGTATATAACAAAGTATTGAGAAACTTTTGTTATTGACCAAATACTTATTTTCCACCATAATTTGCAAATAAATTCATTAAAAATCATACAATGTGATTTTCTGGATTTTTTTTTCTCATTTTGTCTGTCATAGTTGACGTGTACATATGATGAAAATTACAGGCCTCTCTCATCTTTTTAAGTGGGAGAACTTGCACAATTGGTGGCTGACTAAATACTTTTTTTCCCCACTGTATATATATATATATATATATATATATATATATATATATAAATACAAATCTCCAATTTGGACTCCAGACCAAAGGACAAATTGTTCGTGTTACTTGGCCCAAGTAGGTCTCTTCTTCTTATTGGTGTCCTTTATACAGTACCAATCAAAAGTTTGGACACACCCACTCATTCAAGGGTTTTTCTTTTTGTAGAATAATAGTGAAGACATCAAAACTATGAAATAACACATATGGAATCATGTAGTAACCAAAAAGGTGTGTTGGGTCATTGTCCTGTTGAAAAACGAATGATAGTCCCACTAAGCACAAACCAGATCATCCGTTCACCTACTCTGTGTCTCACAAAGACACGGCGGTTGGAACCAAAAATCTCAAATTTGGACTCCAGACCAAAGGACACATTTCCACCGGTCTAATGTCCATTGCTCGTGTTTCTTGGACCAAGCAAGTCTCTTCTTATTATTGGTGTCCTTTAGTAGTGGTTTCTTTGCAGTAATTCGACCACGAAGGCCTGATTCACGCAGTCTCCTCTGAACAGTTTATGTTGAGGTGTGTCTGTTACTTGAACTCTGTGTAGCATTTATTTGGGCTGCAATTTCTGAGGCTGGTAACTCTAATGAACTTATCCTCTGCAGCACAGGTAACTCTGGGTCTTCCTTTCCTGTGGCGGTCCTCATGAGAGCCAGTTTCATCATAGCGCTTTATGGTTTTTGCAACTGCACTTTAAGAAACTTTCAAAGCTCTTGAAATTTTCCGGATTGACTGACCTTCATGTCTTAAAGTAATGATGGACTGTCGTTTCTCTTTGCTTATTTGAGCTGTTCTTGCCATAATATGGACTTGGCCTTCTACCAAATATGTCTATCTTCTGTATACCACCCTACCTTGTCACAGCACAACTGATTGGCTCAAACGCATTAAGAAGGAGAGAAATTCAACAAATTAACTTTTAAGAAGGCACACCTGTTAATTGAAATGCATTCCAGGTGACTACCTCATGAAGCTGGTTGAGAGAATGCCAAGAGTGTGCAACGCTGTCATCAAGGCAAAGGGTGGCTATTTGAAGAATCTCAAATATAAAATATATTTTGATTTGTTTAACACTTTTTTGGTTACTACATGATTCCATATGTGTTATTTCATAGTTTTGATGTCTTCACTATTATTCTACAATGTAGAAAATATAAAAAAATATATATATATTTTCTTTAACTATACCACGTATCGTACAGCTCCATTACACATGCCATAGATTCCCTGGACTTAAAGCCACAACACTCCCATGGCTTATGTTTTCTCTGTGGACACTGACGGTGTGAGTGTAGCACAGGAGGTTGGTGGCACCTGTAATTGGGGAGGATGGCCTCATGGTAATGGCTTGAGCGAAATTGTATCAAATACATCAAAACACATGGTTTCCATGTGTTTGATGTCATTCCATTTGCTCTGTTCCGGCCATTATTCTGAGCTGCCTCCTGTGGAGTGTTGAGTGTATGTAGGCCACTGATCGGTGGCAGTGCATGCTTCTCGAGACAGAAGCTACTGTTGTGTCTGTGAGGAGGACAACAGAGGGTTGTTGATGCTGAGGTCTGTACCTGCTCCGCTGCGTCTGGTGCTCATGTCAGCCATGTAGCCCCACTGGTTACTGACTGGGTTGTACTCCTCCACCGTGCTGAGACACTGGCGCGACGCCCCGTCGTAGCCACCCACCGCATACAGCTTCCCTGTACAACACAACACACACCCACTGAAGAATACAACGAGGAACACGTACAAAGAGATGCTGAATGTACACCCACAGCCAGAAACACAACACCCCCACTGATAAATACACAAGCACAGATACACACAGAAGCTCTTTATAGACACTGAAGCACTCACACACACACTGATATACTGTAGATAGACAAAATTAGAAGCTCACAAATAGCACTGTTGACACACACACACACACACACACACAGTTCTTCTCTTACCGTCCACCACTCCCACTCCGACACTGCTGCGTCTCGTGTTCATGGGAGCAACAAACATCCACTCATTGGTCTTGTAGTTGTAGGCCTCCACTGACGACAGGCCTGAGATGGAAGGATGGAAAACGGAGAGGAGAAACAGGAAGCGTTTCAACAAAGCAGCTCTAATATACCTTCTGAAAGCAGGGCACAACACTCAAATCAAATCAAATCCAATGAGGCCCAACACTAATGGTCTCTCCTCTCTGCTCTAGTGTATCAGTATAATCAGATGCGGTCGGGGTGACCACCACTATGTCTAACAATACAACCTAGACATTCTTTCTGGAGGCACTACTGCTCCCTGCTCCATTTAGTCACACTGTAACATGCACCGCTGCCCCTCAAAGGACTACTGGAACACTTAGAAAACACACTCGCTGAGCAGTGGTGACAAAGATTTTAGCTCTGGGGGGAGGGGAGAAGGAGAAGGGAGGGGATAAGAGGGGGGGGGGGGGTAAGAATGGGTACCTGTGCTCCCGTCGAAGCCCCCCACGGCGTAGAGCATGTCCCCCAGTACGGCCGACCCAAGGGTGCTGCGTCGCTCTTGCATGCTGGGAACTGTAGTCCACTGGTCCCTCACCCCGTCGTACACATCCACCGTCCTGACTCGCAACGAGCCGTTGAAGCCTCCCACCGCGTACACCCTCCCTGCCATGAACACCACACCTGAGAGAGAGAGAGACAGAGGGAGAGGGAGAGAGCGATAGGCAGGGGAAAGAGATTTATGCCAATGAGTGCACACATTAAAGCAGGCCTATTCAACTGGCGGCCCGCGGGCCAGATCTAGCCTGTTTATCAATTTAGAATGGCCCTTTGATCAATTCTGAACATGAATCAAAAGAATCAGAGAAATAAAAGGCCATATTTAGTGCCAAAAAGAGCCCTAGTTCAATATTCTCCAAATGGGAGAATCTGTTATGCAGCACTATATTGGATCACTCCAACATGGTATCCTTCCGCTCGGCAGGATCCATTACGAGTAAGAATTTCAGATTAGTCCCGTGTACCGGGTAGTGCTGCGGCTGACCCCCTTAAATAGCTGCTGCCGCACTACACCCACCTCTTCCTTTTCTCGGCTCATTCCAGAGAGGATTCGCTTGATAAGAGCTCATGTTAGAGTGTATACCCACAGCTATTCAATAGCTTGGAGCAGCTAGCTAAGCTAGCCTCTCCACCTGGGTGCTCTGCTGTCCCCCCACTCGGTTGGGCTTGTGCCATCTCGTTTGGGTTTTGTCCTTCTATATAATTACTTGTGACAGTGTACCAACCTGGGCGATACTCGGTTTGGTCGACCAGTATTGCGGCGCTGAGGGTTTGTCCTAGTTTTCTGTGACTTGTCTGTCCACCGGAACCCTCCCGGTTGAGCCTTCGGGCTCAGGGACTCCCGCAAGATCGTGAGTCTGTGTATGTTTCGCTCTGGCGGGCTTGCATTTCTCTCCGGAGAGTGAGTCACGTGTCGCTAGGTGCACCACACTTCTCTCACAGGCGCAGCCATCTTGCCTAGACTCGTGTGTTCCACGGTGAACGAGCTATGCAGTAGCTAGCTTAACGAGCATTCTAAAATTTATTAAAACTGTTTTTTCCCCCCTCATCAAGCTACACAGAATACCCCATAATGACAAAGCAAAAACAGGTTTTTAGAAATGTTTGCAAATCTATAAAAAATTCTAAACTGAAATATCACATTTACATAAGTATTCAGACCCTTTACTCAGTACTTTGTTGAAGCACTTTTGGCAGCGATTACAGCCTCGAGTCTTATTGGGTATGACGCTACAAGCTTGGCACACCTGTATTTGGGGAGTTCTCCCATTCTTCTCTGCAGACCCTCTTAAGCTCTGTCAGGTTGGATGGGGAGCATCGCTGCACAGCTATTTTCAGGTCTCTCCAGAAATGTTCGATCGGGTTCATGTCCGGGCTCTGGCTGGGCCACTCAAGGACATTCAGAGACTTGTCCCGAAGCCACTCCTGCGTCGTCTTGGCTGTGTGCTTAGGGTTGTTGTCCTGTTGGAAGGTGAACCTACACCCCAGTCTGAGGTCCTGAGCGCTCTGGAGCAGGTTTTCATCAAGGATCTCTCTGTACTTTGCTTCGTTCATTTTTCCCCTCGATCCTGACTAGTCTCCCAGTCCCTGCCGCTGAAGAATATCCCCACAGCATGATGCTGCCACCACCATGCTTCACCGTAGGGATGGTGCCAGGTTTCCTCCAGACGTGACACTTGGCATTCAGGCCAAAGAGCTCAATCTTGGTTTCATCAGACCAGAGAATCTTGTTTCTCATGGTCTGAGAGTCCTTTAAGTGCCTTTTGGAAAACTCCAAGCAGGCTGTCATGTGCCGTTTACTGAGGAGTGGCTTCCGTCTGGCCACTCTACCATAAAGGCCTGATTGGTGGAGTGCTGTAGGGATGGTTGTCCTTCTGGAAGGTTCTCCCATCTCCACAGAGGAACTCTGGCGCTCTGTCAGAGTGACCATCGGGCTTGGTCACCTCCCTGACCAAGGCCCTTCTCCCCCAATTGCTCAGTTTGGCCGGGCGGCCAGCTCTAGGAAGAGTCTCTAAATTCTAAAAACCTGTTTTCGCGTTGTCATTATGGGATATTGTGTGTAGATTGATGAGGCAAAAAAATTATTTCATCAATTTTAGAATAAGGCTGTAATGTAACAAAATGTGGAAAAGGAGAAGGTGTCTGAATACTTTCCAATGCACTGTATAAGCAAAGGTCGAGCTAACGTGTGTGTGAGTTCACGTGCTCTGGCCCTCCTCCCACGATCAGGCAGTTCACACCCCGTTCACGTCTCCTCTCCTTCAGATAGTCTCATACACTAAGGCTGGTACTGTAGGTCTGTAGTATCTGACTATTACAGTATTGCAAAGTGTATACTATAGACACATTGTAATATCACACTGTTGGCTTCACTTTCACAGAGAAACTACATAACTATTATGGTGTTTCATTGTCAGAGATGCAGGGTACCCCTGCCTACGGGGGATGCACACTCTGCCTGCATGACCTGTCTTGGGTTAGATCACGCACGGAGAGCGATTAGAGAACCCAATAGTTGTTTGGCCTCCGCCACCTTTGGAGAACGCGTGCGCTTAGCACGCCTGGAAGGGATGAGAGCCACAGTACAGTCCTCCCCATCTGATGACCATATTCCCCCCTCTGGGGTGATGCGTCGTCGCGGCAGCACCCTTTCGGCCTCTTTGGGGGCCCCCCTCCAAACTTAGTATGGCTGAGGAGTTGATCCGCCTCGAATGTCAGGCGAAAAGCCTGCGGGAGGAAGTGGACGCTTTACGGGGGGATGATGACGGCGACCACGCCCTCTCTCTCCACGCTGGAGATGAGTTGGGTGACAGTGCTTCAGCGCCATCTGTAGCTGGGAGCACCGTTACGGAGGCAACCCTGGTGGTGACAGACACAACATGGGAGCTTTTAGCGAGAGTGGCTACCACCCTTGATATCAAGCTGGAAGAAGCACCATCTGAGCAGCTCCTTATCCCCATCTGCCCCAAGTTCGCTTTGGCTCTCCATTAGGAGCAAGATGGAAGGTCGATTCGATTGCGACAACCAGACCAGGCCGTGGACTCTCCTAATGGATGCAGAGTCCTTGGGGCTAGACCACTATTTGGTGAGGGATGACATGGTGGCTGCCATGATCCTCCCTGACAAGGAGACCATTGGCAAGGTGCCTCGCCTCAAACCAGGACCTGAAAGAGTAAGCGAACAGCTGCAAAGCACTTTCGGCGCCTCATAAATGCGGCTATGATGCTGCAATCCTACCTCGCCCTGCTGGTCCCTCGCCTCCCAGGGGGTCGTGACGAGCTTAAGGAGGCCACAGAGGTGTCAAGGCTGCTCACGACGCTCCAGACAGACATGGTAGGTTCCAACGGCAAGGCTTTGGCTTCAGGCTGGCACAGTCTAAACTGCCACCGCCAGTTCAGAAAACATTCTTGGAGCTCCCCTTCACGGCAGGTTCCACCTTTGGGCCAGGGGTCAACAACATCATCCAGCAGACTATAAAACTGCGCAAAAACAGAGAGACTTTGCAGGAGTTCTTGACAACGCCCTACCGCCGCCGCCCCTCGGAAGAGCTGGAAGACAGGGCAGGATGTCCCGAGGGCGTTCCAGCAACGTCTTGGCCACCCTCCTCCCCGCCGAGACAGCAGGGGCAGGGAAATGGGAACCGGCGTTTTACACCCCGACAGCACAAGGGCAGGCATCGTGACCACCCTTACAAGCATCGGCATGCGGCTAAGAAGGATGGGCCCCTGGCAGCCCTTCTGAGTTGCTGGCGGTCGGCCTCAGCCGTCTCTCCCAGGCCCAAAGGGCAAACTGGGAGAGGCAGGTGGAGTCTCCCTGGGTACTGGGCACAGTCCTGAGGGGATACAAACTCCAGTTCTAATGCCTACAGCCCTCCTACAGGGGCATCTGGGTCACCTCGTGGCAGATGGGGTGAGGAAGGAGGCGCTCCGGTTGGAGATAGTCCTCGCTCCTGAGCAAGGACGCAATCAGGAAGATAGAGCCGCTAGAACGGTTAAGTGGGTTCTACTCCACGTATTTCATAGTTCCGAAAAAGGACGGCAGCTTTCGGCCGATCCTGGACCTGCGCAGCCTCAACAAATGTTTAAAGGAGCTCAAGTTCAAGATGCTCTCGCTAGCGCGGGTGTTGCAGGCAGTCTCGAGCAGCCAATGGTTCACCACGCTTGACCTGAAGGATGCGTACTGTCGTGGAAATTCTACACAGGGGCACTCGAAGTCAATCTTAAATGAATCATTGTTTATTAACAGCATGCTGGAGAGGTCACAGTCAAACTTAGATGCATAAAGTACTAGTCTGAAGTGAGCTCTACCAGGGCAGTCCCATTAGTTCTGTTATATACTGCAGACAAGTTATATTTGCATGATTTAGCTTATTCATCATTCATAATTCATTCATCATTAACGTTTGCTTCATTCATGTGACCGACCAATACTGGTTCATACATGTTACAGACCAATACCTCACAAGGCTTCTTCTCTCTAAGATGAGACCTTGAAACTGAGATATCTTTCATTCTCAAAACAAGGGTCTAGGCGTACTGCTAAATTGCAGATACTGATAGTGAGGATTCGTTCAATTAGTCACTTACATGA